ATGACAGAACTATATTTAATATCATCTGATCGAATTCGATAAACCGTAAACTCACTTTCAATAGAAGCAAACCAGAGTTTAGGTTGCTTATGCCAGAAAGTCGGTAGTTTTAATAAACAAAACTCATTTGAGTGAATTTGTAACATAGGATCACTCACCTGATGTCCAGTTTGAGAAGGTAAAATATTAATATTATCTGATCCAACCTGATTTGATCCGCTCGCCAAATCCATATCAATCTGTGTATCCGTACAGGGTCTAACTGGTGATCTATCGATTGGCATTTTCTTCTTGTTCCAGAAATCCGATAAAATGATTTGAGAATTGAAGGACTAATCCGCCTCTGATGTTTCAAAGATCCGGAGAATGAATCTCTTAAAATCAGAATATCCAGCAATTCTTCCAAGCGATGATAATATTTCGCAGACTTCAAATACGACGATCACTTGGCACTTATTCCGCATCAGCTTTTAAAATGCGTCGGCTTTAATATCACGTCGGGGTCACCAAAAATATAGTGACTTATGAATAAATTCACCAGATCTTTGAAAAAGTAATGTTTATTCATTGAAAGTATAAGGCGAAAGAACAAAAAGAATTAATATGTAACAAATAAATGAATGAATGTGTTGTTATGGAAATATTGATTTTTCTTAAAAACATTATGTATATTAATGAATTGAAGTTATTACAAATGTATAAAGATGTAAAAAGTGTAAAAATGCAGTGAAAAGTGTAAGGTGTAATAAAAGTGTAGAGTGTAAATAAAAGGTGTGGATGATGAATGCTACAAATGTAAGACTACTTCCATAAAAAAACTTACCTTTTTAAAAAAAGGTAAAAAAGCGCCAAGTAAAAATATTATATATAAAAAAACAATGTTATTTTTTAATTACTAAGAAATTGTCCCACAAAAAATTGTTTTACAAAATTCAGTTATATAAAAAATTCTACAAAATAATTATGACATCAAAAAACTGCGCCAAATAAATAAAAATTAAAATATATAAATAAAGTTTTATTATTTTAAATATTTAAAAAAGCTACTCACAAATATTTTGTATTACTTTTGCAAATCTGATCTGAAAAATTTATCACAGAATCACTTATGTATTTTTATGTATGATGTTATCATCTATATAGTCAAAACAATTTAGATCTTTTTAGATATTAAAAATTGATGTGATTTTAATGTCTCGACCCGGGCCAAATTTTTCGTCTATTTAATCCTTTCAATGTCAGGTCTAAATTGTTTTGACTATGCATCCTTCAAAATACAAAAGTGATTCTATATATCAAATCAAATAAAAATTTGCAAAATTGATACAAGTTTATATTTGACTGACAAGGAACGTTTGGTAAGTTGAAAATTTAAAAAATCTGAAACTCAGCACAATTTTAGGGTAATAGGTCTAATAACGAAACCACTTTGTTAGTGTTAAAAATGAGTATAGGGGTGCAACCAGTCGTGAGAAAATCTGTTTTTACATTCCAAAGCGAATATCGTCGAGACAAATAGAAATATAAAAGATTTTAATATTACACAAAAGTTTGGATTTAAATGTACTTTACAATGGCGTATTTGGATTAAAAAAAAATGATACAATTTTCCAAACTACTCTTTTCCCACTCAATATTTTTTTATATTTCGAAAAAATTTTGAAATTATATATATTTTAAAACTTATGTATTACGCCAAATGCAACTATATATATATAAATATAATAAAGTTATGTTGCGGAAATTAGTTCTTGAGAAATAAAATTATAGACGAAATACGAAAGAGAAAAAAGTCTGTTACTGCTTGATTCATGGACAGGACATTATTCGGAACAATTAAAAGAATTTATTTCGGCAAACAAAGAAGTAAATATTTTAACAATACCAAAAAAAAATAGTTTTGTACAACTTTTAAATGTTTTCGGTTTTAGACTTTGGAAAAATTTTGTTTGATGTTTATCTGAAAAAAGGTAAAAAGGCGCCCAGTTAACGGCATGCCAGTAACAAAAAATTACCCATGCAAAACTCATGTAGAATTCTATGAAAAATTAATTATTGCAAATCTAAAATTACAAAAAAAGCGTAAAGAGCCACGCGGATGTTGCTGCGTACATTTTCAACGAAACTAAGTTTTCGTTGGAAATAAACCGTGCACAAGGCACGTATTATTCTCGGTGTACTACCAAGACTTAAAATTTTTGAAATAATCTCATACTTGAGATTTAATTTCAAATACCCCTAACCCCCCTACGGAAATAAATAAATAATTGCGAGAGAAAAATATAGATCCGAAAGTCGCTGAATCGGGAATCGAACCCGAGACCTTTCACTTGCCGGGCGACTGCTCTTTCAATTGAGCTATATATATTCAGACCCTTTGATTTTATACCTTTCTCTACTTATACTCTAAATGATGCCTATTCGCCGGCGTGTATACTACCAAGACTTAAAAATTTTAAGTCTTGGTAATACACCGAAAATAATACGTGTTTTGTGCACGATTTATTTCCAACGAAAACTTAGTTTCGTTGGAAATGTACGCAGCAACATCCGCGTATGGCTCTTTACGCCTTTCTTGCTATTTTAGATTTATATTTAATATATTCCCACATAAAACAAAAGATCTAGTAGATGTATATATTAGAGCTATAAATCTATGGAACATCTATATCTATTTAAGATATTCTCTATATTTATAATATATGTATATCTAATGTCAATTTATATACGTATATAAATTGTATCTATTATACGTATGAAATTCATATATAAAACGCATATACAACGATATACAATTTACAGCTAATAGATATATATTTGAGATATATATATCCTAAAAAAATCATAAAAATGAAAAGGTCAGGCCATGTTCAAAAGAAGGTACTCAAAAATTTAAACGATCTAATAATAAATTATCACGAAAAGTAACTGATATGTTATTCAAGGTGCCAGTTCAAAGTGAACATACGTAAAGTGTATATTATCTAAATTTAGTAATAATATATTACCATGAAAAGTAACTGTGATATTTTATTCAAGGTGCAAGTTCACATTGAATATACATACATATAAGTAAAACTGATTACAATTTGATTCTAGAAAATAAGTGCGATATGTTATTCTTAGTGCACAAAATATAATAGTCGTTTATAGAGATTTGATTTGAAATTCATACTAGCCCGTACAATGAAAAATAATTGCTCGTAATTCCAGAGTACCAATTTGTTAATGACTCAGAAAAATAACATGGCGGCCTGCTCTCAAAAAACTATGATGTTTCTCGATGTCCATTTAGAAATAATGTCAAAGCTCTTACAGAATAATTACTACAACATTTGAAATACGAAAAGTATTACATTAGAAGAAGATTAGATTAGAATAAGGATTCAACGTATTTTTAAAAGCTCTACACACACAACGAAGTAAATATACAAAACTATATACAAATACCTTTTTCTTCTGTGTTTCTGAAGAAAATTGTAAGTCAAATGAAACCTTGCACTTTGAGAACCATGTCACTTACTTTTCAGAGTAAAATTGATAAATTTTTTTTGTATATTTTAATGATATTTATTTCTCACTTGTATCTTGAATAATTAATATGTAATTTTTTATTGTATATTACGACAAATAATCAGTAAACTTTTTAAGCGTATAGCTTTATTGTAGTTGACCTGAGAACTGTACATTTATAAACTTTACTTAATATACACCCGTTTCGAGCAACAAGGCAAAGTTTTCTGATTAATAACTTACTCCCTGAAAATACGGTATAACACAAATCGGAAGTTGATACGAAAATTCGAAATTTTACTAAAAAAAGATTGGAGGTTTTTAATTTATAACATATCAGTTACTTTTCGTGATAATTTATTATTAGATCGTTTAAATTTTTGAGTACCTTCTTTGAACATGGCCTGACCTTTTCATTTTTATGATTTTTTTAGGATATCACTTACTTTTTAAAGTACAGATATATAGAGCAGCTTTCTAGTAATTCAAGTATCACAAATATATGTATTTTCGATTCTTATCACATAACTTTGTATAAGTAACAATTTATGCAATACAGTTCAAAATAATTGAAATATATGGTATATATGTACATATATAAAATATATAATTATATTATAGTATACATATATATTTTATTTAATCATATATGTAAATGTTTGTATAATTGTAATAACTTTTAACGATACATTGCACATTTATTTCAATTGCAACAGAATGAATTTATATTCTTGTATAAATATTGAAAATAAAGAATGGGCCCCTCCATCGCCCATTCTCGTGAGAACGCAACCATATATTTTTCTTCGTCTCTCCGATTTTAACACGACATACATATTTCTGTCTGATAATTTTTTCTTGATGATATTTTTTGAAATGTCATAAAGCCTAGGTCAAATTAGAAACTTAATGCACTCGTTTTAATGCAGCGCTTACAGCAGCTTTTATAAAGCGCCAGAGCAGCCGATATTTTATTTTGGCGCTTACGGCAACTTTTATACAGCGCTAGAACAGTTGATGTTTTAATGTAGCGTTTACGGCAGCCTTTATACAGCGCCATTATTTAATCTGTTCTAAGAACAATATGTATGCCCCTTGTGCTCCTTTGGGCCATTTTTTCTTGAACACTTTCATATCAATAGAGTAATACCATTCCGATTTTGTGTCAGCTCTCAACATACACGTGTAGTGACCACGATTCATTTCTTCACCTTCGTGAAATATAGCGCTTATTAGCTTGTACTTTTTTTTATTAATCGTAATATTACTCGTCGGCACGGCGGTAATCCGATTGTTGATAATTTTTTTAGAAGCACCGTTTACAAAAGTATATAATTGAGCTGTATTACTACGACGGATAAAGTTGATGCGATTACGGTTTACTTTTTCAACACGGTGCCCTTACATTTTGTTCGCGAACTCAGTAAAATACTAAAGAGAGAGAGCGCGGGAATACCGGCGCACGTGGTCGGAAAAAGATGGTGGTTTTACGCGGCGACAATAGACAATAATGCATCACGCACTATTATACGCGTCAGAGGAGTTTGGCTCAGGATTACTGGATGCTTCTGAGCGAATGTCAATGGAGCGTGCATCAATCTGCCTCCCATACGAATAATTCCGTCATCATCAATGAACGGATCCAAAGAAAGTAGCGAACTCGAACGTGGCAATCTTTGCTCGGCTCGCAATAAATGAAGTTCGGTCGCATATAACGACGACTGTATGACCTTGATCCAAAAGATTTTGGCTTCCGTCATCAACCGCGTAGTGTATAAAAGCTCCGTACATGGAAGCTGTCGTCGTGTCAGTTTCACGAAGCGTAAAATTAACGCAGTTATCTTGAGCAGTTTGCTCCAATCAGAATAGCGAGTGGACAGATCCCACTCGGAGACATTGGTGACGTGAGTGACGACTGACCCTGCCTCAAGGTCAGAAGTCGGCAGACTATCAGAAGAGTCGACAGAGGGCCACTCTTGGGGCTCACAGGAGAGCCACGAGGGCCCGTACCACCATAGTGGATTTTTGATCAATTGAGTCGGAGAGACTCCACGAGAAGCTAAGTCCGCAGGGTTGTCCTGCGTAGGAACATGACGCCAACTTGCCTGAGGACATTGCGTTTGGATGAGAGACACCCGATTCGCCACGAATACTTTCCATGTGGCCGGAGACTTGCTAAGCCAGGCCAATGCGACGGTGGAATCCGTCCAAGCGTAAATGGGGACCTGCTCAAGATTCAACGCAGAAATGGTCCAAGCAAGGAGCCGTGATAAGAGTTCGGCCGCACAGAGCTCCAAACGAGGAACCGAGACCGTTTTCAACGGAGCAACCTTGCTCTTACTTGTTAGCAAGAAAACTTGTGGCTCGAATTTATGGATCACTCGAAGGTAGATCACGGCTGCGTAAGCGGCCTGGGACGCATCCGCGAACCCATGGATCTCGATACTTGAGTCCTCGCGGGAGTGCACCCAGCGCGGGATACAAACAGTAGCAAGCGAGATGAGTCCGTGGCAAAAAGAGATGCACCTTTCATTCAGGTCCGACGGTAGTGTCGTGTCCCAGTCGATCCTAGACAGCCACAATTGTTGAATAAGGATCTTACCGATAATAATGACAGGCGACAACCAACCTAATGGATCGTAGATTCTCGATATATACGAGAGAAAGGTGCGTTTTGTTATATGCGACGGAACTTCTGCACAAATACGAAAACTAAAAGCATCCTCCAATGGTGCCCAATATATGCCAAGGATTTTTAATTGATCATCCTCTTTAAAATCTACGTTTTGTGCAGGATCGCGAATCGTTTCGGATAAATCGGAGATTAAATCCGGACAATTGGAACTCCATTTGTGTAGAGGAAACCCGCCCGCGTTGGTCAGTCCTATCATCTGCTCTCGAATCTCGCGACATTCTTCTATCTCCGACGCGCCAAAAAATATATCGTCAACATATGAATTGAATATGACGTTATGCGCAGCCAGAGGGAAACGATGCTTCTCGTCCTCTGCTAACTGCCGCAAGACGCGCAATGCTAAAAAGGGCGCAGGAGCGGTGCCGTAAGTTACCGTCCGTAACCGATACGGAATTACCGCGTCTTTCTCCGATTGCCTCCAGAGAATTAATTGAAAACGCGTATGATCATCGTGCACGCGAATTTGCCGAAACATCTTCGCAATATCGGCGGCACACACAAACCGGTGCCAGCGCCAACGTAACAAAATGGCACATAGATCAGTCTGCAATTTTGGTCCAATAAGGAGGCAGTCGTTGAGAGACTTTCCATTGCCAGTGCGCGCAGACGCGTTAAATACAACCCTTACCTTCGTCGAAGTGCTACTTGGCTTTAATACCGGATGGTGCGGTATAAAGCATCGCTGCTCCTCGACATCCGTGGGCGTATACGGACTCATATGTCCTAATCTTAAATATTCATTTAAGAAATCATTATATTCGACAGCTAACTGTCGATCCTTTTTCAAACGACGCTCCAAAGTCGCATGCATACGGAGCGAATTTTTGTGAGAATCCCCAATATCAATTGGAAGATTCCCCTTAAACGGCAACGCGACATTGTACCTTCCTGACGTATCACGATTAGTAGTCGCGACGAAGAGGTCCTCGCAATATTGATCCTCAGCGGATAACTGGGTCTGCGAAGGAATCTCCTCAACCTCCCAAAAGCGCTCGATCGCACGAGTCAAATCAGTATTAGGGGTCACGTGTAATGACGAAATAGTCGTATGCGACGACGATACATTGACAGGACCGTCGTCCACCGGACCGCGCAGCACCCACCCGAATCGCGAATGAATAGCATACGGCTCTCCGGGAAACTTCACCCGATCCTGAAGTATTATTTCGTCATAACAATCGGCACCGAGTATTAAGTCGATCGGCTTATCACTGCAGGGGTCGGGGTCGGCCAATGTCAGTTGTCCGACGCCGGTCCACTCAGAGGCCTTAACAAATCGTCGCGGAACATAATTAGAAAGCCGAGATAAAATAAGAGGCTCGATCACGACTACAAGCTGAGACTTATTTCGTGATCGTAGCTCAACGCGGGTGGAGTGCTTCACGACCCCGGAGACGGTGGCGCCAGTACCTGAAATTGAAGCAGAGCACGCAATTCTTTGCACGCGTAACGCTTGAGCAGCTGCTTCAGATATTAACGAGCACTCGGAGCCAGAATCTATGACTGCGCGAAATGGCAGTTCACGACCTTCAGCCGTACGCACGTGTACCCACGCTGTCGCAATTAACACCGGCCTTAACGTTTTTGACTTGGCGACTCCCGAATGACAGGAAGTTACATTAGATAACTTCGCGTGATCGTTACTCGAAACGGAAGTAACCGCGTTACTGTTTATTGACTCGGGATCCGATGTACGCGGTGAGAATGCTTGATGAAGCATTTTATGATGCCGCTTCTTACACTTATCGCAACCCGGTTTGTTTTTACAGCTCGGCGGAAAATGACCTTTAGCGAGACAATTAAAGCATAAATGCGCCGCTCGGGCGGAATCTAAACGTTCGCTCGCAGACATGACCTTGAATTTCGCGCACTTCGATATGTTATGAGCCGCGGAGCACAAATGACAAACAGAAGTATTGGTGTTCGCAACGTGCGAAGTGACCTTAGAGTCAACACCGTTTTTATGTTTTGAATTTTTCGTTACGGCATTGTCGTTCAGGCATGTGACTCCGCTTTTAATCGACGCAACATTTAAAGCGTGTATTTTACCGTTCAGAAATTGCTCAAGTTCGTCATAATTTGGAAATGTTTCTCTTTTACCGATGTTCTCTTCCCAACTCTTTCGAATCGTCGGGTCCAGACGCATAAGCGTCATAACAACTAATATGGAATCCCACGATAATTGATTCAAGTTTTCGAGAGAGACAAGTATTTCGCGAGTTTGATTAACTAGAGTCTCTAACGCGGCCGGACTATCGCCGCTTACGGGCCTAAGTTTTAATAACCGAACTATAAGAGAAAAAGTCAAAACTTGAATATCTTGATAATGATCATTAATTAATTTCCAAGCCGATTCGAAATTTGCATCGGTAATCGGTAAATTTTTAATCAACGACAATGCCGTACCGGTCAAACAACTTTTAAGATAATAAAACTTCTGTACGTTAGACAGTCCAGACTCACGGACGACCATCGAGTCAAACATGTCTCGAAAGTGGGTCCAGTCCTTCTGATCTCCGTTGAAGGTCGGCAGAGGGATGCGCTCGAGACTGGTGAACCTCGAAGTCGACGATGCGTCGGCAGCGTCCCTCCTAATTGACGATGTCGAAGGCATGTTGCTCTGCAAGGCGGTGAGCGCGTCCGTCGCATCAAGAACTCGATCCTCCATGTCACCAAATTCGGTACCTTTGAGATAGTCACTGACGTCCGGATCAATCGAATATGCCGTTAACTCCTCGTGATTGCATCGACATTTGGCCCATAGCTGCGTTAACGTTTGGAGTTTCGTCGAGACTGTAATGGAGGCGGACGTTTCAGTGAGCCTCACAGCCGAATTGCACGTGCGATGAATAGATCGCAAATATTCTCTTTGTACAACGAGCAACGCTATAATGCTGCCCTGAGAACGAGTACGATTTCTCGATTGGTCCGTCGGTAACTTGAGCGTATCTCCAGGCATGATGACGTCACAGTTTATCACTTCACGGCCGAAGAAAAAAAGAATAAGTTAATTCTTCAATAATTATTTACAACGTGATAGATTATCACAAGAGAGTGACTAGCGGATCTAATAAACAACAGTCTCGAACAATCGTAATGACTGGAGTCACTTATCAATCCGATAATTATCACAAGAACGACGAACGAATCCCGAAAGCGATAGATTCGGAATATCGCACTAAACTGAGTCAAATTATCACTCCGATAAATTGTCAACAAGAACGACGAACGAATCGCGATAACTATAGATTCGAATCGTCGTACGAAGTGGAGTCAAATTATCACTCCGAAAAAATTGTCAAAAAGAACGTTGAACGAATCGCGAAAACTATAGATTCGAATCGTCGCACGAAATGGAGTCAAATTGTCACTCCGAAAAAATTGTCAAAAAACGATTAACCGATAATAGTCGATAGTAATTCAAGTAACGCACTAAACGAAGTCGATTATCACTCCATAAATTGTCAAAAAGAACGACGAACGAATCGCATAAACTATAGATTCGAACCGTCGGACGAAATGGAGTAAAATTATCACTCCGTTCGTATCACTAAATGTCACTGTTCAAGTCACTGTCCGCTAGAATCGAGATTAATCGCTTCTGTTCGCGATTTCACAGACACGTAGAGAAGGGCCACGTGAGTCTATCACGTATTACGACACGAATGTGCACATATAAGGGCGATAACTCGATTCGTCGTCGTGCACTCGAAGTTATGCACTTTAATTCACCGATTCACGCACTATCCGGCTCGAGGACCATGTTCGCGAACTCAGTAAAATACTAAAGAGAGAGAGCGTAAATACCGGCGCACGTGGTCGAAAAAGATGGTGGTTTTACGCGGCGACAATAGACGAGGCGGGGAAATAAATCACTCGCGCTTCGTAACAGTCAATGGTCTTTTTTATTCCGCACGGCACAAATGTACACAATTAATTTCGATAGAAGAAAATATATACGAGATATTATGACTTGAACGACTTATATATTTAATACACGAGAGCGATACAGAACACGTGTACACTGACTCAAGGATTACTCCAGAATGCTTGCTTTCTTCCTCGTCACTACGGAAGTGACGGGACGACCGCGCTAATCAGATATCGATCTAAACGGAAATCAATATGATTGCTATCAATCGATGCTCTGAGCGACGCCGCGATCTCAGAGATGGCGCGCATGTCGGTTCGCGCTCGGCAACACACTCGCACGAACACATTTGTTACAATTGCCGTTTATCGTTTCCCATTTAGAAAATTCTACATTAATCAAACTTTGTAGAGTGACACCTTTTTTCCTTTTTAATGTCGAATGTATAGGTAATATTAACAAACTACTGCTTTCCAGCTTAGTTACATTGTAATTACATTTGACATTCGAGCAACATGTTACGTGCTTTAATTCGAGTTTTAATACATCATTGATGTCGGAATACGTCGACATTAGAGCCGTAAAAAATTCCGAAACATCTTGTTGTGTTCGTTCTTCGAAGCGTTTTCCGACAGATCTTCTAACCGCTTGAATGTTGCAATATTTACGTTCACCATACGCGCAGATAGCATCAATCAATGCATTCCATGCTTTATTTTTCAGTATTTGTTGCCTAATACGTACGCAATGAAACGCACATTGTAATATTACATTAGCGTAACACGAAACAGCATCGTTATTGCAAAGGCCATATATTTTCCACGTAACTATACTTTCTGGTTCCTCACAATCATAATTCTGCATATCATCAATGATATTAGGGATATCCCATCGACGATCGTACATTTTCACAACCTTTTTCTCGGACGGATTGATTTGTGGCAGTTCAGATTTGAATATAGATCTCAGTCGATTATATTCTACAATGGCTCTCGAGTTTGCTTTAACTGATGCTGGATTGAAATTTATCAAATGTAGGCCTTCCAATTTACTTACTCGTGACAAACCTACATAGGCTTGACCATCACTGAATACAGTCGTTCCTAAATCCATCATTGCATTGTTACATGTAATTCCTTCGATTATAAATAATTCGACATTCTTTAATTTGTCTCTCAAAGTTTTCAAGACCATGTCTGACAATTGCGTATATTTTGGTGTAGATTCATGACTAACCGGTAGTTGAAACATTCTATGGATTGTCAAGCCATCGATATTGAATGCTGCGATACCCGTGGGAGCAGATATGGCAGTCGTTTTTTCCAAATTTATTCTGATCCAATGTTTAATCGTTTCAATTAGAAAACTTTTCCCTGTACCACCCTCGCCACTTACGTACAGTCGCAGAATCTGATTCTTATCTTGTAAAACTTGGCATACTCCATCAAAGACTCTTTTCTGGTCTTTGTTCAATTGCGACATCATTTGCGATAAATCAATCGGGTCGTCAATCTTACCAAAATCTTCCAGATCTTTCATCGCGTCGTCAGCTTCTATCGGATTACAATCCAGTTCATCGTCATCGGATTTGTCTCTGTCTGCTGTTTTCAGATCATTTTCGCGCTTCTCGATTAATTCAGCAACGTTCTCAAAAGCTTTCTGTATTTCTTCGAGCCTTTCGTGATATTTCATTGCCTTCGTTAAAACAGACTCTGAATTCTTAAAGGCATCCGTGTAAGTCTCGAATGTACCTTTGAGTTCACTCAAATCTCTCCATGGTTTGAACAGAAGAAGCAGCGAGTAAAAGTATTTTTCGGGCTCAGTTTTTATATTAAATCGATAATGGTTAATTAAATAACCCTTTTTTCGTTTTTTTTAAAATAAACCCGATGCCAGTTTGTAACACTTGACTTCGTCATTATTTGACATCTGTTTCGTAATTTCCCAGAATCTGGCAAAATCGTACAAATTCAATGATTCTAATTCCTGAGGTCTATTTGGATAGTAATCATCGATGAGTGACGAACAGTAAATATTCGTAGAATTTTCATCAAGAGCTTAAATTTCATTAAATGTTTTAACTTTTCTATTTCTCACCTCATTAACATCGATCCATTTGACCATGGTATCATTATCCGTACCGTACAAGGGATTCCCTAATAGTGTATCCGCAGCTTCTAAAGCACCGCATTCTCTGTTATTTAATGAACGCATTGCAAAATTCCACAGTTTCGATGCCAAGGACTTATTCGAATCTATCACTTCAAAGTCTGTATTGCATTTTTCCGACTTTGTCGTGTATTTTGTTAAATATGAGTTTAAAAACTCTGATTTTTCTCTAATAAATTGTATGTCCATATTTCCCTTCCAGGCTAATTTGATAGACGGATTATAATCATTTATAAACCTTTCCGACTCCTTGCGAGGAAGATCGTACAATCTGCTCTTACTGCGTAAATTTTTTCTACCGACTATCGAAGTGATAACGTCTCTTAAAACGAAATTCTCAGTAACTGGCCGAGGAAAATCGAACCGACACTTTCTGTATATATTAGTTTCCGTTTTTTTCGTACGCATGCAATACGAGTTATGTTTATGATTCTGATCACTTATTACCGTATCGTACAACGTTGGCGAAACATTTTCATCTGGAATTTCACACGTTACGTATTTTTGAATAAACGTAGCAACTTCTTCATCCGGCGATTTTCCTAATACTGGAGCATCTTTTATCCAAATCATACAATGCATGTGCTGGATACTTCTACGTTGATATTCCAGTCGCCAGAAGTAATGAATAACCTTTCCTATTGGATTATCGGACGAACAAATAAAATCAATCATGGCTTTGAATTTTATGCACATGAATCTAGAAGTACTTACAGGATCGTATGCGATTAGTTCGCTGATGCCTAACTTCTCTTTATCGGGATTCATATCTCGTAAATATTCACCCAAATCGGACCATTTCCATTCACTAGGACTCAAAGTCAAAAACCACGTCGCTGGACCGTAATGCAAAGTCATGCATTTTACATTATTGGACGGTTGTCGCCAAAATTGATCCGTATTTCTCAATTTTGCGAAAATACTCATTAAATTCGATTCTAATTGGTAACCTTTCAATTCGTTCAAGTATCTACCAGCAGTGTATCTCTCTCGTGGGTTAGTAACCATCATCGTATAATAGATACCACTTTTCAACTGTCGGTAGTTAGCATCATTGAGAAGGAAGAACAGATACTGCAGATTCAACCTGAATCTACTATGTTTCGACATCAATCGTGTTCTAATAAATAAATATTCCGGCAATGCAAAGTTTCTATCTTCTCGTTGTCCATTGACACCATCAGGATATAAATCAGGGAAACACATGACATCCAGATATTTATAACGATTATCCATTGGAAAATCTTCAATTTTCACCATTTGATAAAGCTTCAATGCAGATTCGTTATCGATTCTTTTCGCGTGTATTGGGTATATTGTATACTGATCGTTAATATCCGAATGTTCAGTGATTTGTGTGAGAAAAGCCGTACGTTTTAAAACGGTTTGATCATTATTATTTTTGTTTTGCTGTACATTGTACAAATTCAATGCTGGTAATTCCTCAACCACCTCATTTATTTCGTCATTGTCGCTTTCCTCATCGACAATCCTATATTCTGTTTCCTGCAACTTATCCTTTAATAGATCATCAGATGACGCTGGAAGACGAATTTTTGAGTAATGAGGATTATTTTCTTTCAACCATTGTAAAGCCTTATACATTTTATTAATATCTACCAAATTTTCCCAAACCACTTTAGATTTCTTGGGTATACCTCGAACGAGAATGTGCAACTCGTGATTCAAATTTATAGGATCTTCCGGAGGACATACCTTATCCAATGTTTCTTGTAAAGGCAGAGGCAAATGAAATGTTCTACCTTTTCCTAAACAGAGTTCGATTATATAAGTTTCTTGATTTAAAATGTGCTATATTTAAATCATTTAATTATTTTTTTCGTTCAAGTACAATTAACAGCAAAAACTGCATATACGTAGGTATGTATTTGACTCTACTGCCATTACTTGAAACAAAT